ATTCCGTGTGGAGCGATTTGCAACTTTGTTGAATTCCGTGTGGAGCTATTTGCAACATTGTTGAGCGAGGAAATATGACAGATATGAGGCGAAATTATGGGGAAATATCACAGAAATGAGGGGAAGTTATAGGGAAATGTACCAGGAAATGAAGGGAAATATACCAGGAAATGAAGGGAATGTAAGGGGAGATATGCCAGGATTTGAAGGGAAATTAAAGAGAGATGTGCCAGGAATCAAAGGAAATTAAAGGGGACTATAGCAGATGATAGAGGAAATTTAAAGAGAAATATATCATGAAGTGAAGGAAAATTAATAGGAAATATGCCAGGAAATGAAGGGAAATTAAAGATAAATTTAAAAGAAATAGAAATCGATAGGGAATTGCAGCTTTGTTATCTTCTCGGTGACCTGAACATGTTTGTAGCGACGGTTTGCAGCATTGTTGCCTCCGTAGAGGCTTCAATATAATATATACTATTCTATGCGCGACCTAGTCTACCTATTCACACGTCGTCACACATAAGATAGTTTTCATACATCGATATTACCCAAATTCTACCCAGGCCATCACATTTTGCTCGGAAGCACTCTGAAAGCTATCCCCTTTAATATATTTTAAAGCTATTAAAATCGATGAGGTCAACGCCTGTACATATAAATACCCTCATCGTTAAACAAGCTTTACGATATTCAGAGTGAAAGGTAATAGTTGAGGTACACTTTTCATAATATATGTACGCAAGGAAATCTATAATATATACGCGTATAAATTATGAAATCAGCTGAAAATTGGACCTACATATTCTAAATAAAACAAGTTACAGACATGGGTACATACTGAAACAATTTAATTAAAGGAAGACAAGAAGTCGCGCTACTTTATTAGTCCCTCGTAGATCGCAAATAATATTAATGACCCTCTGAGCCAAAGTTTAATCAATAATAATATTAAATAGCATCATAATACAAAAACAATTTACACCTCAAGTATGCAACATTTACTTACTATTCCACGGAACACTCGTACAATCCTCTGAACACGGTTTAAGAGTCGACTGCTCCAACCATTTACTCTAACAGTAAACCCTGTGTGTTGTCACGCGATCAGGTCCGAACACGAGATATCGGCATGATAACAAGCACCCCGATAAAACGATCCCTGCAGAGGAGTCGATTGCAGATCGAAGAAATCGTACCTGAAATAGGAGACCAGAGCACGCTGCTGGACGACAGGACGTCATCGAGCTACGACAAGTTCTACTCAAACGACTCTCGCGACAGTTGGAAGTCGACCTTAACCCGCAACCAACTGATGAACGAGGAGCCGACACATGAAGCGAGAATGTGGGATCGTTTGAGAAGGAGTCCACTTCAGGTGGAATCGACGCCGCCTACCAGTCCGAAATTCGCCAGAGACGCGAGGAAATATCGAGATATCGGCACGAACACGAGGAACAAGCTGAAGGATCTCGTGTGCAGTCGGTTCGTGATCGAGGACATCGCACCAGAGACGAAGAAGGAGGTCAGAAAGCGATCCTATGGAACCACGACCAGTTTGACCATGAAGGACGTCCTGACGAAGGAGGACGTGGCTGTGATCGTGGACGACGCTCTCAGGATCTACAAGAGTACTCTGATGAAAGACACCACTTCCAGAGGATGTCAGTGCACGCCAGAGCCCTTGAAGATCGTCGAGAAGAAGGATCAGTACGCCCAGGTAGCCGAACCTTTCAAGATGAGGTGTAACGTGGGAATGACTGCTAAGCCAAGGGTGTCAGAAATTGGAATCGAGGTCAGAGTTAGTCCTCAAACGAGGACCATCGCCGTTGGTCCCGATCCTCTAGCTACCCAACCTCTGTCTCTACATTCGATGAACTCGAGGAGCTATTCGTTCAACTACGGCGACAATAATGTAAAGAGGAAGACCACCAAGTCTGTAAGCGTCATGGTAGATGATCTGGTGAGGACCACCGTGAAGAGCACCGATACAACTGGGCTAGCCCCCAAGAAGAGAGAGTTTGGTACGTCTCCGATCAAGAAGAAGTTCACCGATGTTTCCGTAGGGGAATCAGTGAAGCCTCACATCTCCATCTCCTGCGCGGCTAATTATTGCGACAACTGCAAGGAGACCATCAAGAATCTGGCGAAGCAGATCGTGAACAATGCTGAGAACAACATGAATCATCAGAACACGAGTCTGGTCTCGAGGATACCAAGGCCTTCTCACATCCCGTTGAACAATATGACCGATCAAAGGAGGCAGTTCAAACGACAGGACACCTACACGAAGATACCCGCTGTTGGTGTGATTAGATACGACTCTGATAACAAGGATCAATATGAGAACAGTAATCGGTTAGTATCTGTATTTTTATTTGCTTTCTGTTTGGTGGCGGATGTCGTTAACCCTTTAAACAAAGTGTATTTTATACTCTGAGAACAGTTGATGTTGGAAGAAAAGTCTACCCCCTTTTCAATAACATAATATATCGTGTCAATTTTATCTAAATAATTGAATTATTATTAGTATTTGTTCAAGAAGAAGATATTACATACATATAGATAAATGTAATAACTATAGAAATAGTTTAGTTGTTTGTGCGTGGCTCTAATTACGTCAAAATAACTTTAAGCTAGAGTAAAAATTAATTCAACATAGTTACATATATTTTTACGGTGTTAAATAGATTGAAACATCTAAATGAACACAATATATTATAAGAGCAGATCCTGAAGACTGCATAGATACTCTTCTAAATTATACAAATGTCTTGAATAGGAGACTAGATGAATGCAAAGACATAAAGCCACATGTATATGTGTAAGAAATGTATTCCCAATAATGAAATGTGCCTATGAAATATTCATTTATTAAATTATTTAAGTACTCCTAGGCCTAGTTCTGTCATAGAGATGCCCCCTTGTAAATTTGATGATACTTGAACCAATCAGAACCACGCAACCCGTCGATCAAGCGTTACCGAATTTATAGAAGCTTTAGCGAGTAAACTAATAACTAATTAGACAAACTAATTTTGATAATCGTTTGTAATCTGTCGATAAAAACGCTGGAAAAGGTGATACACGCCATCTGTGGCTGCCGGGATGGTAAGTAGACGTTAGGGGTAGTTCGGTAAATAGATTTGATCAATATATCCAGGGCCGTGTTATAAACAAAGGATGCATCAGAACTCCTCGACAAATAAAAAATGAGCAATACTCTTATTTATATAGAAGCTTTGAATAATACTTCAAGAATGAACAACTACTCGAGTAAAGATTGAAACTTCTATAATAATATTGAATAACATATTTCACGAAGACTCATCTGTTTAATCAAATAAACATTATAAATAAATCGCTATATGTTAGTTTTATTCTTCATCTATTATTCCAATTCTCTGAAAACCAGAAAAGAATTCATAAATAAATAAATAAAATATAACTTCCACGCTTGAGTGTTGCTTTTCATACAAACCTTTTTATACCTTATTGTGTTTTATTAATATTACCTCGAATTTAACATCTTCCTTATTTATTTATTTTTTATTTTTGTAATTTGAGTTAGAATCGGGTTCCAGTACTTCTAGCTCGGCCCTGAATGTATCACATGCTTAGCGACATTAGGCGCATGCTTGGGGGGGGGGGGGTTGTTGATTTTTTCGACTCCATGGTTGCGCGTTGGATGCGTCATATAAGTGTTTTCAAGGTACGCGCAGAGGTCACATTTGTAAATAACACCTCTGAGGTCAGTGACAGAGAAAGTGTTCTTAAAAGCATTCCGAATTCGGTATGGTGAAGAAGTAAACCGCGTATACGATCACGACTGATCGATGCTGCAACAGCAGCAGCAACAACACTCCACCACTTTAGTTAACGACATCGAACCCACCGAAATATCTTCTGCTCGTTTTGTCGAGAAAGGGTAATTGACTCCTTGAAACATTATCCTCGTTAAAACCTCATGAAAATTAAACAAAAATGAAAATACAAATGAAGTATGAAATTATCACTTTAGCTATCTAGAGAGTTTACATTTCTTTATGTAATAATCTGAGCTCGTGTTAACTTTTGCATGCTGTTACTAGGTATTTTGAAAGCTTATTTGCTTTCAAAAATTAAACATTGCATGTAGATGATTAGTTGATAAATTCCAGGATGCTTAAATTAAAAGGTCTATAAATAGACTCTCGGTAGATAAAGTGTTGAAACAATTTCACCGTTGCTTGTTTCCATCCTTTTAAAAAATCGATTCTTATCTATTTTTATTATTCCACAGTATCCAGCAACTGCAAGGGGAAAAGAGAAAGGATGAGAAGTCAGAGGAGATATACATTGCAAATAAAGAGACTGACATCGAAGAAAAGCACGAGCTTCCAGAGTCTGCTCTGTTCCAGCCGATTCAAGAGAAACCTAGAAAGAAGCTCGAACCCACCAAGGAGATGCAGGCCGCCATGAAAGTCCTAAACGATAGCCTTAAGAAATCACCTAGCAAAAATATTACGCATCAGATGAAGAACGCTATCAACATCATCCAGTTGGAGTGGTTCAAAATCTCTAGCACCGTGAGCGCGAATCCCTTAGAAGTAGAAGATTATCTAGACTGTTTCGAAGAATGCTCTAGCTCCTTGTTAGAATACATTGTTAATATGACCGACTCGAGCGGAAACACTGCGATGCATTACGCGGTCTCCCATGGGAACTTCGACGTGGTTTCTATACTTCTAGACTCGAAAGTTTGCGATATCAATCAGGCAAACGTGGCTGGATACACGGCTGTGATGTTGGCAGCTCTTGCAGAAGTCAGAAACTCCACTCATGCATCTGTGGCTAACAGGCTATTCCAACTAGCAGATGTTAATATTCGAGCCAAATTGGTAAGGATTTTTCATGGTGATAGATTATTTTTGTTAATGCATACGATTCTTTACAATTCATGTTTTCTCCAGCATGGTCAAACCGCCTTGATGCTGGCAGTATCGCATGGCCGCAAGGACATGACTCAATTGTTGTTGGACGCAGGAGCAGCGATTAACATTCAAGACGAAGATGGTAGCACAGCCTTGATGTGCGCTGCAGAACACGGACATACGGACATCGTACGACTATTACTCGCGCATCCAGATTGCGATCCATCTATCGTTGATATAGATGGTAGTTCCGCTCTGAAAATTGCGTTAGAAGCTGGTAATCGAGACATCGGAGTGTTACTTTACGCTCATGAACGCGTGAATAGAGGAACGAGTCCCTACTCGTCGATGAGACGTAGTAGGAGAGGGTCCAAACCAACAACGCCTACAGGACCCTCTCCTTCAGCACCAGTAAGTCCAGCCCCATCCCGAAGAATGCATTCGTCAACAGTTTCCCTGAACTCGAAATATTCTGCTAAATAATTTTACAAGCACTGGAAGACTCTCATAGGTATTTAACATACTAGCGTATAGTTTCGAATCATAATCGTATCATGGCTAAGCAATAATACAATCGGCGTCCCGTGTTTCCTATATTTATTGCTAATGTGTTTTAATATTTATCGTCGATTACAATATTCTAACGTGTTAACCACCGGATAAACGAGATCACGTTTCTTGCCTAACGATTCATTAGCCCAGCACAAGCGTTTTTTTAATTTAAGATAATCCATTTTAACTGCTCAACTTTGTATACAATTATTCGAGAGAAGTTTGAAGGTGTTGTTTTGTAAAGTTAGTGGGTAGAAAGGATACGCGCGAAACGACGTTAGCCGATAGAGGAAGGATTTTTGTATAATAAACTGTGGAAACTTCTTTCTAGGTGCTATCAAAGTAAAAGTGAAACCCTTTTTCATTGTTGATAGATTTTATATGACGTCGCGAGTACGAAGCTACGATGATTTTAACAGACAATTTTCAGAAAATTTGATTCTTAACTCTAGAAACTGTGTGAAAGTACAAAAAAAATTTCGTATGTAGGGAAAGAGTCACAGTGCAAGAATCAAGTAATGTCTTCCAACATCCTGTGGCATTAAAAACATTCCAAAGTGAATCATTAATAATCCGAATTTCTTATCGCAGAAATTTCTGACTCACGTCTACATTAATGTATTCGAATTTCAGGCCTAGTTTCCATTAAACCCTGGGGATCAAACTGTCAGTAGAATAATTGTGTACTGATATACATAGAAAGACATAATACGATTACATGGTGCACAAACGCGAGAGACACGATTAATTCTTGCGATTAATGTTGAATTTATATACGAGAAACATTCTTTAGAACTTATCGATCGTCGTTCGATGTTGAAGTAGAGATGTTATAGACGTGAAAGTATAATAAATATAGTATCTGTGGATTACGATACGAAATAACGAAGGGCATACGAAGGAATGCGACTAAGTTGTAATACTTGTTGAAATTTTTTCAGGGTACAGTTTATAGAGCACAGAAATGTATTTAATTTTCATTCCTCGTTTATGCGTGTCACCTTCGTAATTAGGAATTGGAATACGTAAGAAGAGTTTTTAACGTTGAACGTTTTCTTATAGGGTTGTGAATATCTAGAAAATAACGAGCGTATTTAAGTTCAACATCAAAGATTTAGGTTAACGTTGTAATTGAGTATTCCTATCGTTAAGAATCTATATTAATGTTAAGTGGCGATTACATATATCAAAGGTAGCACTGAATCAAGTAATAGAATTGTAGGGATCTAGGAAGTAGAGGACTACTTTTCATTGTTTGTGCCTTTATATTTAACATACTGTAACTGATAATAAACTCGAGAAGAAACTACATGAAGTAAATGTATTGTATTATTATTTATAAAGAATCAATGTGTAAAATATAATTCGTATGGACTGAATTTCACTTTCTCTAAATAAAATTTCTATGATGAAATCCATGATAAATATTGTTTGCAATTTATTTACGTAATTGTCGAACCTATATTCAAATTTTCCCGCACTTTTGTAATGACTGTTGTTGCCATCTAGCGGTAGATTCACCGAACTAATTTTCGGAGTGTGGTCAGCGCCTCTAGCGGCAAAACGCCCAAGTTTGTAGCCGAATAGTTTCAACTTTTACTGTTAGATGGCGCCATTAAATACTGTTATTTACCTACATTAGATAACAAATAATAATTTGGTACTACAAACTTGAGCGTTTTGCCGTTAGAGGCGCTGTAAAACCTTGCTGAGAAAGCTCAAGGTTGGCAATTCTGGCTACACATCATAACCACAACGTGACGTTACCATATATTGTTGCTTGTGTCTCTGATCACTTGATTGACAGCTATCTTACGCGGTTTGTAATTATACAGTTCAATATAATGTACATAAAAACAACATGAATATTTAAATCAATATTATCTATCCACAATAAATTATTAGTAATGATTTGTGAAACACTGTATGTAACATATTTTATCTTCGAGTTCAAATTTTGTTTATGATATTCACATCGACATGTTTCAATATTTTACACAATTGTTTAAATATATTTCAATGTTACTTTAAAATAAATTAAAAGTTCAACACGAATATGTTAATGTAATCGACTTAAACAGTTGAATTATTAACTATAGCCTAATTTTGCATCATAATTTGCTAATGCTACTAACTCGTTTATTTATAATATTTTCAATTGCAGGAGGGTCTTAATCAAACTATCAAAATTGAGAATAAAATGCGACGAACTCATTCAAGTAAGTCAATTAATGTGAAAGTACTACTTTCACTTTGGTGTAATTCTTTCATTCTGATTTCTATTGGTTTTCACAACAGATTATGCCTATGAACCAGTACCAACAACATCAACTCACAATGGGTTGGAAGACGAGAATGAAAGAATGACAGATCACCTAAAGGATAAAATTCATGCACTGAAGTCCTTGTCAATTGACATTGGAAATGAAGTGCAATATCAGGATAAAATGCTTCGTGGAATGGTCAGTAACTTCTCACTGTTTGTGAAAATCTAATGATTATAAATACAGCCTATATATACAGAATAAACTTTTTTGTCAGGATGAAGATTTTGAAAGAACAAGCGGTTCCTTAACAGGATCTGTGGCAAGAGTCTTACGCTTATCCAAAGGAAGTCATACTTATTACATTTTATATTTATTCCTATTCTCTATAGCTGTCTTTTTTGTATTGTGGATAGCAATGAAATTTTTTTAAATGAAAAACCTTTAAGATTGAAAGATATTCGGAGGGTGCAATCATTCCTAAATTATTTTACTACATGCATACATACATACAATAATTTTCGATTATAATATGCAATTGTGTATAAAGGTCATCAATGTTTTAAACTAATTTATATAAGATGTATAGTTAACATTCTCGTCGTGTTTTATATATAAGGTATCTAAATGTATATAAATTAATATTACTGTAAAAATAATCTAAGAAAATATATTCTATATGGAAAGAAGTATAATCGTGATATTTTAATGTTGGCAGTATCGAAGCATAACTCCATATAACCTAACCTAATTTTTTCATAACATCAAGTACACGTGTGATGTACTGGCACATGGTACAAAAAAAAACAGTTTTAATTATCGACTAGAGTAGAAGTCTCAAAATGAAGAACAAAAATTTGAAAAAGAATCCGTTCAGTAAAGTAAAAGAAGAAACTAACGATGAAGGTCCAAGTATTTCGGAAGATAAAACGCCAGAGGTTATTTTGCCGTCTGACAGCAACTTTAATCACATAAAATGCAAAGCAGTACGACATCAAAAATGTCAGAAACTATTGAAGGAGAAAATAAAGGCCAAAAAGGAAGCCAAGAAACAGAGAATTCAAGAAGGAGCTCCAAAACAAGTACCGCATACTATCGAGAGCTTAAGAGAGAAAGATGAAACTACTATCAGCGGAGACATCGACGACGAAGAAAATCTAGAACTCAAAGTTGACTTGGAACACGACGAATTTGCCTCTTATTATAGACACGATTACGAGCCTAAAGTCTTGATCACCTACTGTGACAATCCAACGAGAAAGACAAGAATTTTTGGGAGGGAGTTGACAAGGATAATACCAAATTCTATTTCGTTGTACAGAAACCGTTCCGGAGTAAAGAAAATGGTCAAAAGTGCCATTGCTAGAAATTTCACTGACATTGTTGTTATTAATGAAGATCAGTGTAAACCTAGTATCCTTTTCCTATGTTTATGATAATCAAATATTTGTTATTCTTATCAATTATTATTGCTTTCCTTATCTAGTGTCTTAGATGGTATGTTAGTCATTCATTTACCAGATGGACCAACAGCATATTTTAAGCTTAGCAATGTCAAAATAACACCAGAATTAAAACGTAGTCACAAAGAGATTACAAAACATAGACCCGAAGTTATTTTGAACAATTTCACTACTCGCTTGGGTCACACGATTGGAAGAATGTTGGGAGCCTTGTTTCACTATCAACCTGAATTTAAAGGCAGGAGAGCTGTAACATTTCATAACCAGAGAGATTATATATTCTTCAGGCATCATAGGTAACTTCCATAAATTATTTAATTGACCTAATTAAAAAATGGAAACATAGTAATATTAACAATGTTGCAGGTACCAATTTGATCTTAAAAAGGGAAAGCCTACACTGAGAGAATTAGGACCGAGATTTACTTTAAAATTGAGATATTTGCAGCATGGAACATTTGACACCAAATATGGAGAGTATGAATGGCTTATACAAGGACGAAGACACGATATGGAAACTAGCAGAAGAAAGTTCTTCCTATGAATATTATCTACTGTAGATTTTTTAAGATGTGGCTTGTTATTCTAAGTGAACAATAAAAGTTTTATAAGAAATATAGAAATCTCGTTTTATTAAACTCTTAAGAAATATTAATTTGTAACAAAAATATCAGTTAGTTTAGTATATAAATAACAAAATTTATAATCTCTTAGTTCAATTATTCGTATGCTTCACGTGCTTAATAGCTTTAGGTTTAAATTGATCCCATAGCACGTCTGTTCGTTTTAAAACATAAACGGCGGCTTGAAGGCCGCCTATATTTACTCCTAACATTTTTGTTACGCGATATAAGTCTCCAGCCATTTGTAGAGCCTGTGGAAAGAAACAGTTTTTTTATTATACAGGATGCATTTAAATGGGTTCTTTCAGTTGAACTGCCTTAAGTGCCTCATCCGATAATATTTACTAATTAATAACGTACCATATTACAACTACGTCTGTCGTAAGTGAGTAAGACACTTCGACCTGTTGAGAGTTTTAGAATTCGTCCTAATTCTATCAAAAATTGTTTATAAAGTATCCTATTGTCTACCATTCGTCCACTTCGTTTTCCAAATGGCTATAAGAATTATTTTTATAGATTTAATATGATAGAATGGTAAAATGTTACCAGTATTAATGTATACTATTTAATTACCATGTCAGTAACAACAATATCAACATATGAATCTTTAAATGGTAATTGTGATACACTCCAATTCATCATATCAATTTTACATTTAGTGGCTGAGGCATCAATATTAGACTTTGCCCTAACTACAGCTTTTGGATGATTGTCTCCAGCAATAATATAAGCTTGAGGATAAACCAAAGCTGCCTAAAATGTTTGGTGTTACAATTTTTAATTATTTGTGCCTATAGGTATATAAATAAATCATATTAGATTCTATACAACCTCTATTGGAATAGAACCACCACCACACATTGGATCAATTATTATATCGCCTGGCCTGGGTTGAGCTAATCGTAATAAATTATAACACACAGTTGCTCTAAGAGTAGTTGGTCCAAAACACATGATATTTCTACGATGCTTAGACTCGTGTGTGACACGTAAATGTGTTATCAATTCACCTATTAACGGTACATATTTATTTGTTGTAGCAAAACAAACATGCATGTATTTTGGATCTCTTAAAGTGTTACATTTAATTATATCTCACTTACTATTAATTAATTTACAAACTATTTCTAAGTAATACGTGGACAAATCCACAAGCCACAGGTATTTGTCTTGTAATTCTCCTCCAATAGTTCTGGCAACATCACCAGATTCAAATGTATGTTTACCAGTCCTCTCACATGTTACCCTGTACCTTAAAATTTCATCGTCTTTAGCATCGGACGGATCTTGGCCTCTTTTTCTGCCTTTAAATGTTACTGCTGTGGTAAGTATGTTTGAGAGTTTAAAATCTTTTTCTACTAGACTATACTCTTCTGTGGTTGGATATATTTTTCCTTGGAAACCAGTTATCCGTTTCCAAGCATTTAAGCATTTTTCTAATTTTATACTATTTTGCACAGCATCCTTAAAAAGCTGCAGATCAGTCTCTTTACTAGTTCCCGTGAAAACAAATTGTCTTACATCGGCAACGATAAATATATTGTCTATTGACCTCATCTCTTGTATCTATAATTATAAATAGATCAAGATAATCCTGTAAACCTATCTCTGATTTGATCTACATATTGTTACACTCTCTTTTTATTAAATATTAATATTGCAATAATTTTGTATCTAAGATTATTATATAAAAGCAATGAAAAACATTTTAATACTTGTGCAAATTCAGTCCAGGATACATTAAAAAAGATTCTCCCGCGTTCCTTAACGAACTTAACATTTTTATTTATCTTTTCTTTGCATTCGTCCACAGCTTGCCACTCGAAACCTGTAAATGTAATTCTGTAGAGGTTACATTAACGAACCACGTGCCCTGGCCTCCTAATTAAGCTGTATTGTGTACCTGTATCCACAGTTGTAGACACCGTAAAAACATTATCGTTAGTCGACGATTCGTAGAAAAGTTTCTGTAGATCCGACTCGTTATCTACGCTCATTTCGAATGTTTGAAATTTACAAATTGTAAATTATTTCGTGCTCTAGCTCAACCGACACGTGATTATGCACGTGACTAATGTCAAAGTAGTGCCACGTGCTTGACACCATCGATTTTATTAAACAATACGAAAGAAACGATAAAGAAACACAAAATTTCTTAGTTAAAAAATCTTTCATTTCAATTCTGTTATTTCTGTAGGTCGTATTTGAAATTTTACTAAATATTTTAACGTATGGAACGAAACGAAATATTAAATTTATTTAATTGAATCTATTTATTTAAGATATCTCGATCTAAGAATGCGGAAAGATGTTTAGCGGTTTCAAGTCCACGAGTGAAAAGGCAGCAAAAATTGCACGATCGCGGAGTCGGGTTTTGCGCAAAATAAAGAACACCTCCTCGAGCACCGTGGTCTCCTGGTACAAAATGTCAATTTTGTTGAACAGTTTACAAGTATCTAACTTTTGCTTAATGTAACAACAAACGGCGATCAAACACATTGCAGAAAACGAGAGGGGGATGACGGTACGCGTATGAATAATATTTTTAAGGGTAATAAATAATGTAACGAATTTGATCGTGGAATGCGACAGTGTGTGTCATCGCGATATGAGTTTTATCGAGCTGTCTGCCGAAGAAGCGGCTACTGATAAAAGAGTTTCCGGGCGCCTTAATTTAATTCATTACCTACTATTAATTATTTATTGCAATTACAGCTTGCTGTAAACAAAACCGTGATATAAAATAAATTAAATGTAGTCGATATCGAAATATTTCTACTGCCGAATTATTGCGAGATTTTTAATTAATTATTCGAACGAAATGTATTGAAGCGAAATGAAAGTCGACAATTTAAGTAAATGGTTTGTAATCGAAGAATAATCCCTTAGAATTTTGCTATATTTTGCCCGAATACATTCGTAAATATTGTATGTATTGTTTGCATAAATTAAATCGATAGATATTTTCCTGTGCTCCTATCACTACACGAATAATGAAATGTTATATAAATATTAATAAAAAAAATCTATTCTAATAGATGAAATAAATATTGAATAATACTGCTGTTATCGAAATAAAAAATATTATTGAATTTAATTATATTATTTTGTCCCAAAAGTTTCTTTTCATTAATAAGTAATATATACACAATATTTTCTGTCTAATGTTACATTATTGAATTGTGTACGATTCATTTTGCTCCATTACTGTTACAACATCAACATCTACGAAATTAGATTGTCTATTTACATAAACACTATCGCACAAAATAATTGAGTGCAAATTACGAAAGAAACTTTTGGGACAACCTAATATATCCAACCACTACTTTGGTATCCACGATTGAATTTATTGCGAACGAGCAATTCTTATCGGTTCGATTCAATACAGATCAATTAACGGTACATTAAACAACAATGTAAAAATGTAGACGTTCCACATTCGAAGATATCTGAGAGCAATTGCTTTTATCAATATTTATCTCCTATTTGACTTCGGAGTGCCGATAGCGGGACGATTCCTTATCGACGAGAGGAATTTAAATATTCGATTTTATTCGGGCAACTTTTGAAAACGATTAAATACCGATGGAAAACGAGAGGTTTAACGTTGGAACGTAATTGAATTATTAAGCGATCGACGATTGCGCGATGAAACGTTTCCTTTGAAAACCGCGACGGCTATCACGGAAAACTACTTTGGAAACTCAAGTTCCCGAACGGTTTGTGAATATTCACGAGGACGAGCTGACGTTCACGGGAATCCTTGATTCAATTTGCGGTATGGACGACCTGAGAAACTTTGTTTCGTCTCTACAAGCGTGATCCTGGATCGAGCCGTTGATCCTTTCGCGTAAACAATGACGTAACTTCAAAATAAGGGATCCGTTGTAAGTGGTTCTATTCGGAATTTTTCTTTGAATAAAGGGAACATTTTCTGCGTGGCTCGAGTTGTTTTGGGGGTTGATAAATATAACCGAGTTGAAAAATTATTATTTATGAATAGAATCAGATAGAATCACAGAGAAAGGTGTTAAACCACATTAAGATATTAAAAACCGCCTACGAGAAATTATAGGATGTTCAATTGTACAGAAGTGTACTACTTTCTCTGAAAGAGTCGTGGATTATGTATTTCGATTAATCATTCAACAGAAAAGTCGAGGAGAGTAAGCTACAGTTAACTACGAAGAGAAGTTCAAACTAAAATACATACGTGTACGCGAAACTACTGAAGTTGAATAAAGATGGCTACCACGCCGTTTATTTACGTTGAAATGCATTTTTATTAAGTTTATCGTCCGTATCATCGCTGCATGTCCGATAAACCGAATAGTATCGTCGCTGCATGTCCGATAAACCGAATATCGCGTCGCGCGAGGCATCATTAACTTCATAATCCCCCACGTTCATTCGGACGTGTCCGATAATACAATTAGGGAGTTTCACCGAAAAAAACAGCGCGACAGTTCTCGGCTCTGTCGATTGAGTTTTCACGCAAAATGCCATTTTTCCGATAGTACGTCGGTTTACAGTTTTCATTCGGTTGGTGAACGCTGAAAGTTTAATCTGACAGGTACAAGTTGCTTGTAGTGGTTGAAAATAGTAATGGAATATTGAAAAGGATGCTATCAAAAGAAAAAAAAGAATGATTTTCAATAGAATCTATTTTTTAATCCATTTGTTGGACCTCTTCAAGCATACTATTGTAAAAATTAAATAAAACTTCCTGAGACAATAAAGCACAACCTCCAAACAATATATAAATTTACTATCACCCAACTCGAACTTAATCTCCCTCAAAAATATATGCCTCCAAAAAATATCCAACTTGAAGAAATAGAAAGTACTCCTCAAAAATTTAGTTTCTCCTAAAAATCAAATAAAACTTCCTCAGACAATAAAGCACACCCTCCAAACAATGTATAAATTACTATCATCTAACTCAAACTTGATCCTCATTAAAAATATATTCCTCTAAGAAATGCCTAGATTAAAGAAACAGGAAGGACTCCTCCAGAATCTTGTTCAGCCTAAAAATTAAATAAAACTTCCTCACGCAATAAAGCACACAACTCCAAACAATATATAAATTACACAGCGTCTAATTCAGACTTCATCCTTTTTAAAAATATATTCCTTTAAAAAATGCCTAAAGTAAAGAAACAAGAAGAACTCCCTCAGGATCTGGTTTACCCTATCCTACAAAGTGACTTTTGTATCGCGCTCCTGGTAACGGGGTAAATCCGATACTATAAATGTGTACACGTAAATAACACAGAATTAATTCCTACGCCTAATATGCGATTAGGTATACAACTCGCGAAGCTACTCTTCATTCAACACCCTCGCGCATCCGTTCCGCGCGGTAGCGCCCGTCGATCTGGGACGGCGCGCAGGATAAATATATAATTTCCTGTTATTCATAGACAATCGTCTGATATCCTGGATTAGACCGATCATTAGGTGGTTGCCGGTCACGCGGAGGTCGTTGGAGGTGGTTTACCGTCGTGGAAGGTGGAAAACTCGCGGTTGGGCGTCTGCATCCCGCCTCTTCGGGTCATTTCAGGTCGAAAGTTCGCCGGGCCATGTGTCTCTATACATAGAAGCGACTTCCAGCCCCCTCTCGATCCTCCACCCTTTCTCTCTTTCTCGCGCATCCTGTCCCGCGGACTGACAGCTGAAGCCAGGAGTGACTGAAATATTCATCGTCACAAGACGAACGAGGCGCGACCGAACGTCGATCTGTCAACCCGCTTTGACTACATAAATGTGGACTGCGCGCGGAGGAGCCGCTGGGGAATTTATAACCGTGGACACAAAAAAAAGGAAAAAAAAAATCTTTTCAACATCTCCAAGAGATCCAATTTATCGAAAGCTTTTAACGCGGTCGCGGAAGCCCCGGAGATCCTGCGAGATAGGATAAAGTAGATTCTAGAGGAGCCTTTTTCACTTCTCTTTAATTGGGCCTATTTGGGGGGGGGGGGGCATATACAGACGGTCCCATAAATATTCGTACCTTCTATGTTAAAGAAATCTGTCTAAATCAAATGATAGGTTCATTATAAATGTGTACATGAATGAACTTTACACTTATGAAATATTTATTTGCAAATGTTAAACGTATCGCTTAATTCTGACAGATTTCTATAATAGAAGGTATGAATATTTATGGGACTGGTTGTTTTTTAGGGGGATTAGATTTCAGTTGGATGTAGTATTTGGAGGGTGTATTTTATTGTCTGAGATACTTCTACACCCTCGCTCATAAATATGTGAACACGTACTACTTTCAATGAATAATTAATATACACCGTACATTATTTCTGTACAACTTTTGTTGCTAAATTCTATATTGGATATGTATTTAACAAGATTTAATAGTATTAAATGTTTTGACTGGCATATTTAATTTTATAGTGGAACTATGGGATCGTTTAGATAGAAATGTTTAAAAAGAATCTTGAATATATTAAAAACATTTATGGCGAAATATTACTTCAGATCCAATGAAGAAATTGATAGTATTCAAGTTTGGTAAAAGAAATTTTAACACTATCTAGTTATCTGTATAGTTTTGACCATTACTAATGCGATATTAGACAAATCTATTAATAAAATATATTCGCTAATACAACATAAACATATCGAAAGATAAATGATATAATTGATATTAATACGTAGATTCCCAACTTTTATTAGATATTTATTTCTATTAAGCAAGTGTCCACATACTTCTGAGCGAGGGTGTATGTACTGTAAAAAGCGCTGTGTTGGAAGTGGTCTCGCAAAGGGATTCAAAGGGTTCCCTAGTAGAGAAGCTTCAGTTTCTATCACTGAATAAATCAACAATTTTTGGGAACAATCACCTACCAGAAGCTAAATATAAAAGTAAGTCCATGGTCTCTAAAAATGAACCCATTCTGATTGAGATTCGATGAATCAGATACTATGGAGAAATGTTTTCCATTTAATTGGAAGTTCCTGGGGATTTATTGTTTCTAGATGAATTTAGTATGTTTTAAGAGTGGAAAAGGTTTGAGTTAGGTCTCTGACTTAGCCTAAGAGTCTTGCCTATTTTTTACAGCGCCATAAAATGAGTCCAAAGGGAAGAATACAAATAGTCTATAGTAATAATTCCTACCACTAAATTACGAATTAAAAAAAAGTCACCAACCAGGAGCTAAATGAAAAAGGCAGATCATGGTCTTCACGCCTCACCTACACCTCATCTACCATGAAATAGAATGAATCAGTCTATGGACAACTATTTTCCATATCTGTTCCTGGAGGTATACTATTTTCAGATGAATGTACTACATCTTAAGAGTAGAAAAGGTCTGACGATGACTACGTCCCTATTTTTCAGAACACTACCAAATATATCCAAAAAGTCTCAAAACCGAATAACCCCTACCACCAAAAAAAAAAAACAACTCAGCTCCCAAGACATGCCAACAAAAATAAGTTCACCATCTCCACACTTATCCATTCAACGCGCATTTAATTTATTCGTCGACGCATTCGATCTTTCCCATTTAAAGAAAAAAAAAAAAAAAAAAATGAATCACGAAGCGTCCTGCCAGCGTAAGATTCTCAACCAGAGATAATGACCATATATAATAGCGAAAGTGGAGGGGTCAAGCGAGCTGTCCTGTACGCGACTTCGATGGTTGTTTGTCGCCCACGCACGACAAAGAGGGGTGGCACGAGGGGGTTGAGCAGGGCTAACTAGACGGCGAATTAAGCCGGCACTCCGAAATGCTTTTAAAATTTAAATAATGCATCGTTGCCCGATCCCCGTGTCTCGCGCCACCGGAATTTCTCATCGTCTATCCTCTACCACCTGTCGACCCTCGTTGCCCTCGACTTTTTGGCAGTTTTTGAGAAACGCGGCGTGTCGGTACCTGTTACCATCGACGCCGAGCAAACGTCACGGCGCTCGTCGTCTAGAGGC